ACAGTGCTGCAATGAACATGGGTGTGCATGTATCTATTCATGTGACAGCTCTTATTTCTCTAGGATATATTCCAAGGAGTGGGATTGCTGGATCGTATGGTAGTTATATATCTAGCTTTTTAAGAAAGCACCAAATCGATTTCCAAAGTGGTTGTACCATTTTACATTCCCACCAGCAGTGCGTAAGTGTTCCAGTCTCTCTACAACCTCTCCAACATTTATTGTGTTTTTTGGATTAGTGCTAGCCTTGTTGGGGTGAGATGGTATCTCATGGTAGTTTTGATTTGCATTTCTCAGATATGAGAGTTTTAAGGTGATATGCTTACATCATTTATTTTTAATAGATTTATTGAGGTATAATTTACATACCACAAAATACACCCATTATAAGTACACAATTCAATGTTTTTTATAAATACAGACTGTTTTACAATCATCACCACCGTTCATGTGAGGTTGCCTCCTTCAGGGGCTGTGGGTATAGGCACTAGGTAACATGTCTACTATGAATACCAGATGTTTCATGCTTTTCTGATTTTATCAAGTTGTTAAATTCTCATGGATCTCATTGTATTCCAAGAAACAGAGTAACCTGGATGCTTGAGATGGAAAAAAATTTAGGTAACTTTTATTTAACCTCTTTGGCAAAGCTGAGTTTCAACTGCTTTCTCCAATACGTAGAGTTTTATAGCCTTAGCTCTAAATATGATAACTTCATGCCAAAGCACATGCAGTCAGTCTTTCTCACACAACCCTCCTCCCTCATAACCTGGTGGGAATGAGTTTTGAGGTCTCTCTCTTTAGAAGCTGCATAGCAAAAACCTCCACTTTTCTCTGCCTTCCAGCTTACCTCACTTTTCCATACTGAACCTCTAGTTCCATCTCTTTCTAATTATCTCGCAAACAGTATCCGTTCCAATTTTTCATTTTTGGAAGTCAAATCCCTCCAAGGATCAGAAAAGATTAATGCATGTTGATTTTTCTTAGTGTGGGAGGCATTTCAGTAGTCTAAGGCTTCAAGGGGAATTCAGTCAGGACTATAACAGGGATCCTATCCTATGGGAAAGAAGGCTCACACACAAATATCTACACCACAGGTTAGAGCTTGCTATGTACCACAATAATACACTAATGCAGAAATCACCCTCTCCAGAGAGGGTATAGTCAGGAAACTTTCAGAAAAGGCTTTAGAGATAACTCTTAAGCTGGGCCTCAAAGGGCAGAGATGGATTTACATATTCAGAGAATGGGGGTGGGGGTGGGGCACAGTCAATCCTGAAACTACCTAAACAGAACTATTATTAAGCTCTTCTGTCCTTCTCAGGAGGGAAACCTGGTGGCATTATGGCTAAGCAACAGGGCTGCTAACCAAAAGGTCAGCAGTTTGAATCCACTAGGTGCTCCTTGGAAACCCTATGGGACAGTTTTACTCTGTCCTATAGGGTCACTATGAATCAGACTCCACGGCAATGGGGTTTTTGTTTGTTTTTATCCTTCTCAAGGGAGGAGCCCTGGTGGTGCAACGGTTAAGCATTTGGCTGCTAACCGAAAGGTCAGTGGTTCGAACCCACCAGCTGCTCAGTGGGAGAAAGATGTGGCAGTTGGCTTCCATAAAGATTACAGCCTTGGAAACCCTATGGAGCAGTTCTACTCTGTCCTATAGCATCGCTATGAGTTGGAATCGACTCAATGGTTAAGTGCTTGGCTGCTAGCTGAACCTATAGTTTGGAGGTTGTAACTCACCTAGTGGCTCCTTGGGAGAAAGACCTGGTGATCTGCTCTCCTAAAGATTACAGGCTAGAAAACCCTATGGGGTAGGGCTGTTCTGCTCTGTCACATGGGGTCGCTATGAATTGAAATCAACTCGATGGCACTTAACAACAACCCCTTCTCAGGCCCAAACTCATTCCAGTGCTCTCACTCCCTCATTTGCCACCTGCCTTTGTTTTACTATTTCTCTTAAAAAAAAAAAAAAAAAAAGCAAAACAAAACAAAAAGTACTATCAGTATCAGTGTACTTTTCGGAGTTTTTATCTTCACTGCTCCCACCTCCTCCACAGACACTCAAGATTAAGGGAGAGACAGCGTTCCTCCTTCGCTTTTTGCTTCTGCTATTGTTTTTAAGGAATTTACTATTAATCATCATGGGCTATATGAAAATAACAAACACTGGAAAGTTACAAGGTTTTCAGAATCTTGCAAGGTTCAAGCTGACTTCTTTCTATGATGGTAATTGAAAGATCAGTCAGATTTGTGCTGTTCACTTTTGTTCTTGAGGGAGGAGCTCACCAAACTACTTTAGTTCTTCTAACTTTGTCCTAGGCTCCACAGTCAGCCTGAGCATAAAGGCCCCTCTTCAAAATCCCACTTCCCAGCACCTAGGCTCACCAAGGTATTGCGGTTAGTAGGATACATACCTCCTCTCCTGAAGAAGGCTATTAGTATCTCTATTGACCCTCAGGCTAGCAGACAAAGGTTTCCACCCTTCACTGGAAATCTGGAAACAGGGCATTGAAACTTTCAAGCAAAGAGCATTTTTGCAGGTGACAACATTATTGGCAAAATGAGCTAGAACTCTGAGGAGAAAGAGCACAATCTACAGAATCATTTCAGTTGTATTCAATGGCCAAAATTACATTGTGGGGTTAAAAAGTAGAATCCTCAGGAAATTCTTTTCAGACTGTTTTTTGGTAAAAGGAAAGACCAGTAGATGAAGATGGAGGTAGGATAGAAGGAAGGTGGTTTTACAAGAGGAAAAAAAAAATTGGAAGAGAGGGTGTAACACATGATCTAAGAGAGAAATTATACTCAATGGAGCAAAATCTTGAAAGATAGAGAATGGCCTATGTTTAGAAGTGGAGTATGACCAGGAGGGAAGAAGGTGACTGACTATTAAAAGTGTGAAATGTGTGAAAATTAAGACCGAGGTTTAGGAAAGTTAAAGGAATAAGTTCAGTCAAGTATGAAAAAGGAGCCCTGGTGGTGCAAAAGGTTAAATACTTGGCTGCTAATCAAAAGGTTGGCGGTTTGAACCTACCCAGTGCCTCTGTGGGAGAAAGACCTGGCAATCTGCTCCCATAATGATTACAGCCTAGAAAATCCTATGGGGCAGTTCTACTCTGTCACATTGGGTTACCATGAGTTGAAAATCTACTCTATGGAATCTAACAACAACAATATCTAAAAGATAGTCAGTGGAAGGCCCAGTACAGTGGGGGCTTGGGGATAACAAAAATAGGACAGGTTTTGTAGAAGTGCCCTGGGTGATGTACTAGGAAGTCACCCTACTATGATGAAAGGGATTTGAGAATGAGTGAGGGCCAATCTGAGTCTGGATAGTATGAGCTTTTAGTGGAATCAAGTGATTTCTTAACCTTATTCAGTAATGCTTGGTAGTTTAAGAGCAAGTTAAAAAAAAAATTCAACTGAGTATCAAGAAAAAATCAATACTGAGTGACAACTTACTTCAGGGGATGATATCAATGGTGGATTTAACTAACATTTTAATCATTACACAATGAAATACATCAAACAAGCTATCTGAGAGAAATTCAAAAAAGAAAAGATTATTGAAGTAAAAAGTCAATTAACTACTTTGTTTCTTCTTTCTATGCTAGCCTAAGTCAAGAGAAAAGGAGATATCCATATTTTTATTTGCATTAGACATATATCTTCCATTCATTGTTATTAAAATTAAAAAACACAAATAATTTGTATCCTATCAGTATATTAGAATGTATCTCATTTATAAAAATTTGCATTTTAATTTTTTTATGATCCAACAAACACACAAAAATATCCAGAAGAATTCAAAAGCATGAAGAGCTAATGTCCATGATGGCATGAGACAGCACTTCCTAGTCCCTGCTGTTCCCTTCTCATTTCACAGTCCAACCCTGCAAAGGATTGTCAACTAAGTTCACATTTAACTACAAATTGTGGAGAGATTTTTTTTCCAGAGAAGGCACTGTGTTAATTTTTCTTAGCCTATTTTTGTAGTCTTCAATTACAGTAAGATAAAAACCAATGCCAAAGCATATTATCCAGGTTAAAATTCAGGACAGTAGTTAGACACATATAGCTTGCACACACATTAATCTGTTTCTCCCAACATAGTATTTGTAATTTCTACAAGCCTATCAGCATTTTCACATAATATGGTCCCTCCAACATGAGGGACAGTGACATAAACATGTTACTAAATCTTGTTACTAATGAGATTAATATAAAAATGGCAAAATCACCAAATGAAGGAACCTAAGAACATCAGTAGCTATACGCTACAGCAATATAGTGCTTAAAAGCCTAATATATTAATGAAGTCCTATTTTTAACAGGTGGTATCTAAATATCAAAGTCATTTCCAAAAAAAATAAAATCCAGCTAGTATTGACAAACTAGTACAAACTGCCTTTAAATGAAAGAAGTACAGAACTTGGTATCAAAGCTCAAGATTTTTGTGTGTACTGCTTCCATGCTTCGGTTCATTTTTCAAATCAAATTGAGAGGTAACCTGGAAAACACCCAGAAAACAAAATCCATCAACTGTAATTTATTTCCTTTACTGTCTTCTGAAATCATCAGAAGACATGAAGGATTAGCTCTGTCACCTGTGTCTTTCCCCTGCTTGTAACCTCTTGAAAGAAAAAGCACACACCTGTCAAGCTCATAGTGCAGAATGCACACACAAGCTGACGTTTAATAAATATCCTTCAATGGGGGAAGATCAGAAGCTTGCGTTTGGGAAGCAGAGAACACACTATCTCATGTACTGACCCTTTGGTATCCATCCTCCAATCCCGCATTCTGTTACCTTATCAAAATACCATCCAAAGTAAATCCTCTCTGAGTCTCCGTTGGATAGCGCTATAAATTTGAGACTCAAAATTTTGAGGGAAGATTAGTCCCAAGGAAGTTGGGAAGAACAAGCATAAGTGGAATTTACGTGGATCAGTGACATCAGGCGGAAGCTGTTTTTAAGGGATGGGGTGCTAACTCACCTGGAGAAGAAGCAGAAGCTGCACACAAGTCAAAGGTCAAAGGGCACAACCTCAGGGGCTCCCCAGACCCACGAGAAGTGAAAAGCCTGCTTTCGAGTCTCACCGTCAACGATACCTGTAGAGGTTTAGTTGTTCCTGCCTTTGACGCCAGAGACAAACCCTACCATGCCCGGCTGGGGTTGACAGGAGAGCAAAGCAGCACCTTCCCCAAATTTCAGAGCCAGGGCCCAAGAACTCCCTTGCACTTTTCTCCCCCACCCCCTCCCGCGCCAGAGGCCAGAGACACCTTCATCCTCTTTCCCCACTTTCTCCAGTCTCCCTCGCTCTTCACAGCATCGGTCTCTATGGCGACCTGAAACCGCAGTTCCCATTGGCCCGTTCAATATAAGGGCCGGGCCAATGGGGAGGGCCAGCCCTCTTCTTCCGACCAATGGGGCTGGCGGGGAGCAGGTCCGGAGACGGCGGCGTGCTGACGTTCCCGGGAGCCCAGGGCTGGCTGGGCAGGCGGGCTGGCGGCTGGGCGGGTGGCGGCGGCCTCTGGGCAGCAGAGGGGGCTCCGGGGCTGAGTCCTCGTCAACGCCGGCCGCGGAGGCGGCACCATGGGCACGGGGTAGCGGGGCAAGTTGGCCACCGCCGCCGCCGGGGTGGTGGGAGAGCCGCTCCGGGGGAGGGGGCGGGAGAGGCGGGCGGCCGCTCGGCCGCGGCACTTTTTTAATTTTTCGGGTGCCGCAGCGGCGACCCTTCGGCGCCGATGTCCCTGATTCCCGGAGCGACGACGGCCGCTGCCTAACCTGGAAAGTAAGTGTTCGGGCATGCGGGAGCGCGCGGAGAGAACTGCCCACGAGACCGCGGCTCTCGCCCCCACGCCCTGAGCCGGAGCCAGACCTGCTTGCGAGGGGCACGGAGGGGCTGGGGCCTCCCTCCCGTTACTCCGTCCCCACCGCCGCGCGGCCGCCTCGGCTTTCCTGCCCCGCCTCGTGTTCCTGCCCGCACTCGCCTGCCTGCTCCCCTCCCCCCGGCAAGCGCACAAGTTTCACCCTCCATTTGCTTTTCCCGGAGATTACTCTCCCCTGGTCTCCCCTACACGCAGCGCACGACGCCTCCCCACGTTGGTCTTTTCGGATCGAGTCTCCTGCCCCGAACCTGAGCACCGTGCCGAGCCTTTCTGGACGTCTGCCCGGTGTCTTCCCCGCCCCTGACCGCCTGGCACGCCGCCCCGCACCCCAGTACCCCAGGGCGCCCGCTTTCTTCAGCCCTCGGGGCCGTCTGTCGGTCCTGGCCCCCTCCTCTCTTCCCACGCCCCTGCTGCCTACACCGTCTCCCGTTTGCTCCCTAGTCCCGCACTCTCGCCAGTCCTGCCCTCCCCCCTGCCCCCTAGTCCCGCGCTCTGGCCGGTCCTGTTCCCCCCCCCCCGCCACCCCTTCAGTCCAGTGCGCCCCTCTCCGCTCGCCGCGCATCCTCATGCTCCACCCCTCCCGGTTCCTCAGTCCTGAGCCTCCCCGGTTACGCTCCTGCCTCTCTGCCTCCTCCTCTCCCTGCCAGGAGTTGAACCGGAGCTGCAGCACCCTCCTAGCAGATCGGGTGTCCCAGTCCGCCGCTCGGGCAGCCGGGCCCACTCCCCTTTCGCCCTGCTGGGGGAGCGAGGGGGAGGGCAGCGGGGCCGGGATTTGGCTGCGTGTTGGTGGAGTGCGACAAACAGCGAGCACGGGCAGTGGAGGCGCGGCGGCGGCCGTGGCCGCTCGGGGCGCAGCAGTAGGCAGGTGTGTGTGTGTCCTGGGGGGACGCGCGCCACCGGCTCCTCGGCTGGCGACAGATTGTGCTGGAATGCGAGGAATGCACCAGGGGCCGAGTCCACACAGCCCGCCGCGGCTGCACGGCTGCACGGCTGCACTAGCGACTTACCGGCCCAGCTCTCGCCGCGCAGCCAGAGGTCAAGGGAGCATCTTCGGAGCTGGTGAGCCTCGCTCTACTCTCCTCTCCTTGCCTCGCTCCATGCGGCAGAGAGGGCGGTAGGGGGGAAGCGCGGCAGTTCTGCTGGGCTCTGGCTAGCTTTTCGTCTGGGTTTTTGCTGCACTGGTCTTTAGGATTGAATTTGGGGCCGATGGTGGTGTAGCCAAGGTTATTGATCATTGCACAAGGCTCTCTCTAAGTTTGGTTTGCAAGGTTTGTGTAGTGACTGGTTTTTTGGGGGGATTTTCTGAAAACCTGAAGGAAAAAGGGGGCCAAAGGTTCTTAGAGTGATGAGGTTGCAGCCAATATATTTTAGCTCAATTAAAAAATGTCTGTTAATGCTCATGGGCGGGGATGTATTGCCAGAGGGATCTCGTATGCATCACTTTGCTGTCATAAGAATTGTAATTTTTTTTCTTGTCATACTGGGCCGTGTTTAGACCTCGTATAATACATAATGAATAGAGACAGAGAAGCAGTGTTTGGGCAGCGATGGGACAGATAGAACTGTCTGGTACAGTTAAATTCGGGGCGTGTCAGTTACACGGGGACACTACGATCATATCCAATTCAAGATATAATTTATTAGTGGAAATCACAGTTCTTTCTGTTCTTCTTAGAGTTTGACAGAAAAATAAATACAGCCCTACAACTTTTAAAGAATGGTAACTCATTTATATGTAAAATTGATAATAGTATGTATTTCAGTCAAATTTTTCTTTAATGCAGAAAAGCAAAACCTTGGCAGAAGATGCTCTTCTAGAATTGTCCCAGAGTCTTGTATTTTATAAAGGAAATGGTAAGAATGCTTATCTTTTTGAATGCATTATGTTGTTGTAGAAGCATCTTCATTTCTAGTGCCTGAGAAATGATTATGGAAAATGGCAACATGATAAGGTGAACAACAAATGTCCAAAATAAGTTCTTCTGGATGTTGGAGAAGCTTACTGTATGTGATTTTATTTGACACAGTTTGCTTTGGAGGTTGACTGTACTGTAAGTTTTTCCACACTTGGTTATTTTGTATCAGATTTGGGAAAATAGTCAGTTGCCTAACAAATCAGCTGTCTTCTACTTTGTGTGAATCAAGGGCATTGTAAAATATGAAATGAGAGCTTTTTAGTAAAGGACCCAAGGGAAAGGAAAATAGAAACAAATACTTTGCATGAGGGAAGGTTGTTTTTTGGCTGTTACATTGTATTTCAGATATGTCCATAATCAGTGGACCTTCTAATTTAGAGACTTAATTTGTATCCAGTAACACTGTGGAGGATATTGAGAAGTGCTTGTAAGTGCCAAGAGGAAACTTCTTATCTAATAATATCATATTACAGTAGAGTTTAACAGGTGCGTATTTGATTTGATGTGAAGATTAGAAAGTAAAAGCAAATTGAGTTTCTTTGCTGCATAAGAAATTGAAATAACCGTTCAAGTATATAGATATTATATATACCTGATCAGCTGTGCAGGTGGTTTTACTTGCTTCAGAAACCTTTCAGTTAGAACTGTAGCATTAAAAACTTTCAGGTCTATTACTGTAGGTTAAGATCATGGTATTCTATTTGTTACAGATACTTGAAGAGAGGGAGTTTTAAAACTAGTAATCCTGCAAAATTCAAAATAACATAAACTGTGTTTTGACCAAAGTACCTTCTTACCTCACCCTGTTCCCTCTGTTATATAAGAAGAGGATACTGCATTTGGTGTCTTGTATGTTATACTAAAGATTCTAATTTGGGGAAACTTAGTGTCCAATTATCTTGACCCTTACCTATACTGTGTTTGGATGGAGATAAATCTGAGAGCAGTGGTAGTGATGGAAAGCATAAGAGAAGGGAGGAAGAAAGTAGGGGCAACTGGTATTCAGCCACAAAATAGATATAAATTATTGCTTCAGTCACATCATCCTGAATAAACTGAATCTAATTCTGTAACTGGTTCTGACATAATTTGAACTTAAAGGAATTACCACCAAACTCAGTTTAATAAAAACTTCAGCAGTTGTATGACCTTGAATGTTTAGTTTGTCTATATTAAATCAGAATTACAGTGTTCTTTTCTGAGCTATACAAATTGGCAAAGTTTAATTTAAATTTTTGAAGTCTCAATCTTTAAAATCAAGTTATTGCCAGTTTTTAAAATGAGTAATTTCTATGCTGTTGACCAGGGATTGATTTAAGTAGAGAATTTTCATACCTTGGATGATGCCAACCACCTGGTAAGTCCATTCCCTTACACGAGTCATTTGAAATATTAAGGTATTTTGAGAATGCTCCATAATTTTTTTTTTCTGTTTTAGTCAGAGGTAACTCCCTTACCTTGCTTAATTCTAAAGTGGTTACATACCTTCATTCTTAATTGGCAGATAAAGTATAGGTTATTCTAGGGCGTAAATATCCATGGAATTGTATGTCACTTCTGGAAGTTGCCTTCACGCCGTAAGTATACTGGGAGATAATTACTCCTTTGATGTGTGAAATGGTTCTGTAGTGCTGTTCCTGCAACGATAAAGTGATTCTTCTGAAGCCTAGCACCAGTAGACTAGATATATTTGGAAAATTAACTATTTCACGGCAAAACACTAACTACTAATAGCTGCAAACAGAGAGAGGAAGCAAAACTTTAAGGATACATGAATGTAGGGCTTCATATGCTGCTAGTTAATTGATGATAGCAGTTACCTGCCCAGTTTGATACCCAGTGGTGAGAGATGTTAGGGTTCTTTCAGGGTAAGGGGATCAAGCCCTGTGTGACAAAGAGCAATAATCCATGTGCTTACTGATTTCTGTTGAAAAGTTGTACAATATTCAGATGTTTCTCAGATTGTCACTTTAATAATTCAGTGCAATTACTTTAATGTTTTGGGCTATGTTAATATTATTAAATTGGGGATATTACAGAATGGTGCTCCTCAATTAAACTTAGAAATACTGTAGATGTTCCATTTTCATTTGCCTAAGTTGTTTTTTTCTTTTCATAATTGAAATTTATTTTTCGTTTGCTTCACCAGGAAATGTTGGCTACATCACTGATCATTTTATTATTCTTAGTCTTGATAATATTATAGTTTATTGTGAGTCATATATAATGATTCATTGCAGATGATAAAATGTCATTATGGATTAGATTGTAAAATTTTAATACTATAAAATACATAAATTTAAATATGGAAGTCTCTGAAATATTTTAAATCAGGTTGCCGTGAAGTATTTTTTATGAATTGAATGATGTCTGGTGATTTGGTGGGTGCCAGTCCCTCTAGGCAGATATTGAATCATATAGCCCTGGAAGCCCAAAACACACAAATGAAGGACAGGGAAGGAGGGAACCAGGGAAACTA